CTATGTGAGCCTCAGCGGCACCTTTCCCTTCAACGAGGAGGAGGACATCAACGATCAGATACAGAACGCGGCTTTCATGTATCCACCCAATCCCTGGAAGGAGATCTCCTCGAATGGTAAGCCTCAGGCTCAGCCTCAGCCTCAGTACCTATAGATAGTAACACAATCGGAACTTCTCTTAGCCATTGACCTCATCAACAATCTGCTGCAAGTGAAGCAGCGCAAGCGCTACACCTGCGACAAGAGTCTGATGCACTATTGGCTGCAGGACAAGCAGACGTACAGAGACTTGCGCAACCTGGAAACGCAGGTGGGCCTGGGTCGCTATCTCACCCACGAGGCCGACGACATGCGCTGGGACAGCGCTGGCGACATTTGACCTGCCACAACAGCAGCAGCAGCGGCAGCAGCAACAGCAGCGACAGCGGCGACAGCACATGCCGAGCTGTTGGGCAGCCAGAGCGTGCCCTCGAACTGTGCCGGCTGCCATCGGCTGTCCAGCTCGCCCAAAGTGGAGGCCATTGGCGACAAGGCGCTCAAGTGGATGCGCTTTCATCTGTGCAAGCACATCAAATAGCCTTCGCTTCCCACTAGCTTTTTCTAAATACCATTCATTGTTTTTATATACTACACACAAATATTTGCCAGACTGTAAATTAACGTGAAAATATTTTAATTAGCACCTTGTTCAAAGAAAAAAAGAAAATGACAAAAAAACAAGAAATTTTCAATCTTGGCGTTTATCAAAATTTTTAGATATATTGTCTCTCTATGAATTTCGCACAACTTTTCTTACGCTTGATCTTAAAAAGAGCAAGAAAAAAGACACAGAAAACACAAAAAAAAACAAAAAAAAAACACAAAAATTCATTAACAAATTAAATTTCTCACGCTTTTCCAGATGCCGTTTGTAACTGAAATCTCTGTGCTAAATTTTTCCTAAGAATCAAAACTAGTATACTTATACATACATATACATATATAACTGATGGATTACGGTACTTAAAAGAACGCATACTATAGACGAGCAGAAGCTGAACAATTTCTGAACTTAACAAAAAATAAAAATAGAAAAAAATTTAATATTTATTTAAATAATAAAAATTTTGGTTTATCAAAAAAAAAAAAAAAAAAAAAGAAAACAATTTAATATTTAAATAAATAATTAAATAAATTAAATAATTTAAATAAATAAAATTTTTATTTATAAAAAAAAAATAGAAAACAATTTAATAGGAATTTAAAGAAATAAAATTTTTCTTTATCAAAAAAGATAGAAAACACTTTAATAATAATATAAATAAATAAAATTTTTATTTCCCACTTTCATCTTCAAATTAAGTTCGGAAATTGTTTAGCCTCTTTTTCGTCTATATTCACATGACCACATAGACCAATCCAAAAAAAATGTATGCAAACGCTCAGCTGTGCTCGTATTTTAGAACCAATTAAAATATAATTACTAAAAAAAAAGAAACCGATAAAGATAAATAATAATAAAAATCAGACAAGTACTGCTTGAAAATGAATGTGTGTTTGAGTGCCCTATATGGAAGCTGGGTAAAGAGGGTATATTGGTTTTATGTGTATAAGAGCTAGAAAGAGACTTGATAACAAGTCTTATTTCTATATATGTAACAGCTAGAAAGAGACTTGACAGCTATAGCCCATCGTCTATACTTATCTGTCCCTTCTATTCCCTTGCCTCTAAGCTCTTTTGCACCTCCATTCGTTTAGCTGTCTTCTATACCTTAAGCACCATAAGCTCTTACTCTTACCTCTCATCTCTTTAATATATGAATATATGCCCTAAAAATAATATTGATATTTTTATACATTTCATATAATTTGTATAATCATTCCCTATTCACACTTAAAGCATTCATGACTTTGATAAATTTGCACAAAGTCAACAATAATCTTTGCATCGGGTACTTTCTAGTCGTGCACTCCCGTCCATAACACTCCAACTTGAAATCTGCTTCAGTGGCATGCAACGGCTGACACCCTTTTGCGAGATTTCTGGCCCAGTTGCAAGAGTTAGCTGCAGCAGTCGCTGCACACTCTTTGGACGAGCAAGATGCAACACTTTGTGGCCAGACTTTGGCTGCTGCTAGCACTGAGCCGCTTCAGCATTACCGAGTGGGTGGAGATTGCACACTCGCAGTCGCAGCCGCTGGCAACTTCCAGTGGCAAGCAGCTGGCAGTTGAGCGAAATGCCAATGGCGAAGGCTTCACCACGCCCAGCGCTGTCTGGCTGGAGTATCAGCGGGAACGCTTCGGCTTGAGCAACGGTCAGAGCAATCCTTTGGTAGTTAGCGATGTGGGCGGCCTGAAGCACAGCGAACAGATTGTGGTGCCAAACAATAGCCAGGTGATTCATGCCAGGACCAAGCTGGTGGTACACAACAGTTCCAGTAGGCCGCCAGTGGATGTGGATCTGGTGGTTACACCCAAAGTGGAAACCACAATCGCGTCGCCATTCGTCGCAGGTGGAGAGTGCCGAGGATGTTGATGGCGTTGTGGAGACAGCCACCGAGCAGTCGGACGGCGCAGATGATGGGGAACTGCTTTTGCCCAGTATGCAGGGTTTTCTAAAATTTTTGAAAAAAATGCAAATCGGCTGGATTAAGAAGTCGGCACTCAACATAGAAAATAAAATTAAATTACTGAAGCAGCTACGAGACAATTTCATGAAAGTTATTGGTGCGTACTTGAAATAATAAAAAGTTGTCGCATTAAGTGAATTTTACTTTCCACAGAGCAACAGTTCTCGGTGCTGTGGCAGCCAACGGAGCGGCACAGACGACGACGACGCGGCCTGTTGGATGAATCCAATTTAGAATTTCCACCGGAAGCAGCGCTAATGAGTATTAATTTTTTAACATTTGCAGTATTTTTAATTAAACTAGTGCTGGTGAGTAGATTGAATCGAACTGATAATTTCCATAGATAATAATGTACATTATTCATATTGCAGCAAGTGGTAAAAATAGTCAAAAGCAAACATTACAAGCTTTTCAGGCTTTAACATTAATGCAGATGTTGTTCGAAGTCCATAGAATATACATTTTAAAATTGGCGCGCAACATTGTGTATGGCAGCTCTAATGATAACAAACATCTGGCAACCTCTGACAGGCTTAATATAATGGCAGATTTCCATTGCATGTCTTAAATTTAAAAAGAAGCGGGCAAAATTGTCTGTGACAACTCTGGTGACAGCAAACATCTGGCAGCACTGTTTCCCCAGCTGTTCGGCTATTTGTAATTCCTACACGTGCAACGGCACATTTGACATTTAACATATAATCTGTATTTAAGTTTTTAAGTTTTAATTTAATTGAATAAAAATGGATGAGAAAACATTGATTGAAAATGTTTACAATCACAATCAAGATACATATTTCCCCACTTTGCGTAAGTAGTACATTGTAACTGAAAGATCTTGTAAAAAAACTTCTGCTTGAAGTAAAATTTCAGAACGGCTCGCTCGGCACCAGCTCAAATTTTTCACTGATTGAGAGCAAAAACAAACGAAACACACGCAAACGCGCCTTGGTCATGGCAGGTGCCAATACCTATGTAGGTGATTTGCAGAATAATGAAGAATTTGATACGTATATCTGTTTGCGCGATAAAACAACAAACAAAGCTACCATTTTGCCTGTGCAGCAGGCGCTGCTGTCAAACCACATTTACGAGAAAATGGATAAACTAGAGAACCGACCAATGCTGAGCAAAGAACATGCTACAAAGAAGCTACTCAAGGAGTTTGGCGGTCGCAAGGCATCCCGCTATGTGGCCAATCGCGAGGAGATGATGGTCAATGTAAATGTGATGCGTCAGGATCTAGATGAAACAGTGCAGAACTCTGCTCGTCAGGAAGACGAAAATGACGAGGATAATACCCTACCCGAAGTGGATACAAACAATGCAGAATATTTGGCGACCATTGTGCCCAAGTGCGATAAGACGGCAACAAAAATAAATGAAATTTACGATGTGGAGGATGTGGTGCCACAAGCATTGCTCGATCGCCTGGACGAGGAGGCCCAAAGTGTATACTCTGCAGAGTTGGAGACACTACCGTAAGTTTTCAATTTAGATCTATAAACATTCTCGACTTACCTAATCCTCTTTTTTTCAGCATCGAGTCGGACTATCTGCGTGACTGCATCAAGCGCATCCAAAATAAGGAAATCACCACAAAGCAAGATATTCTGCACATCAAATTGATTATCTACATGGACGCGCTGCAGTCGCTCATTGCGCTGCGCAAGCGGCAAATGAAACGTGTCGAATTCTCGGAGATTACGGAGAAAGTGGAAAATGACATACGCCATCGTTTTGCAGATCCCAACGTGGCCAAGTCCTGCACACGCACCACCTTCAGCACAGAGAAGGCGCTCACACATTTCATTGTGCTGGCGCTGCTCATCAGCGAGAATCATGAAGTAGATGTCAATATGCTATCGCGCATTCTACGCACATCCAAGGAACGCATCATCACCTACGCACACTTGGTCAATGCCCGTCCCAAAGCGCGTTCGGACGTGCTATCACTGCGACTGCCCAGCACGGTGCCAGCGCTGACGGTCGGGAGGCGCTTTCAGCGCAAAAAGTAACAGTTTTTAAATTACAGAAAGAACACCCTGTATTGATTGCAGCAGTTGCATCGATTAAACAAATTTCGGTCGTTATTCAAGGCCGAATGGGGTGAAACTAAAAAACATAAGAGAACATTTATTTTTACATTTTATTTAATTTACTTTTTAAATGAAAAACCGTACGTAACATTCAAACACTTTGTGTGCAACTTTTGTTATTCAGAACTCGAAAAAATAATACAAATACATTTCATTTTGCTAAATAATTGGAAATTTTGCTGCATGTGTTTCATTCTAAGAATTTGACAATACTTTGCTCGTTGTTGTAACGTGATAGATTGGTTAGATTCCTTGTTATGTGGCTTGAACAAATAGTTCGCTGAAGTAATTCTTTTTTGTTGTTTTTGTTGAGTATATCGATTTGAATTCTGTTTCAGCTGCAAAATGTGGCACTTATTAAAGCATTTATAATTTATATATATATTGCTCAACTTACACGCAAAACAAATGCAAGGCAATCTTGTTAATCCCTCCCCCTTAGTTGTTAGTGATTTGTGTGTCTTGGATCATGATCGATGTGCGTCGGCCTAAACGGCCAGCCCAAAGACCGAGACGATGCAGTACATGGTCTTATTTTCCCAGCGGACGGTGCAGCTGCCGTCGGTGTCGTTATTCCAGTAGCAGGAGCTGGCCGTGTGCAGTCCGGCGCCGTTCTTTTGCATGATCATGGCTGTGACAATGTATTTGTAGGGCTTCTGCTCTTTGGTGAGCACAGTGAGGCAATTTTCGACCACCTGGCCGGTCCAGTTGTTTACTTTATCGTGCTGGTATGCGTTGCCACCGATAGTTGATTCGATAGCCTCTTTAATTGTTTTGCTCACATCATCCACAATAAATTGGCTTTCCTCGCGTGAGTCATCCATTTTTGTTCAGATTTGTGAAGTCTATGTGTATTTCGTATACAGTTGATGCTCCTTTACCGTTGTTTGACGTTGAATTATGCGCGCGTATTCGCAAACGTTGGCGCGTCTGAATGCCTCAAAAATATATGTCTGGGGTTAGCTTCGACAAATTTCGCTTGCCTTGCTACTTGGTGAGCAGTTAAGTTTAGCGATGGGAAAAGCAATAGCATATCGATAAGTTGGATTTTGATATCATATAGCAAATTCTTTTTGCTAGAGTGAGACAATTACATATCTGTAAAGAAAATACCACAAAAATTCGATAAGTATAAACAAATCGAACTGCTTATCGGCCTTTCACTTTAATTGTTTATTTTACGGTTTCTGCACATTTATTAAATCGAACAATGACAGCATCTGCCTTTTCCAGCCAGGATACGGCAGCGCTGGAGCGTCAGACAGAATTGGCTGTGGAATCGCCGGTAACATTTGAACAAATCTGGAATGAAACGCACAAAAAAGTTAGCATCGGCTGGATACGACAAAATGGTTACAAGCGGGTGCGTAAATGCAACAGGAAAAAGTTGTTGCGTGATTTTAACATATTTCTCAGATCTGTCTTCAATTCCCAGACGATTATTTGCCTCACAGCAATGCGATCAGCACTTGCCTGCAGTTAGCGCTAACAGTAGAGGACTGCAAGATTTTCATTTTAGCAGACACCACGTATGGCAGCTGTTGCGTCGATGAAATTGCTGCTGCTCATGTGGAGGCGGATAGCATTATTCACTTTGGTAATGCGTGCCGCAGCAAGGCCAGTCGCTTACCGGTACTCTATTTGTATCCAGTGCTGCCTCTGGAGCTGTCCACAATGCTACAGCAGCTGGCCACGCTGCAACCAGAATGCACTGAACGAGATGTATGCGTTTATCTTGATATTGGCTACCAGCATCTCTATGAGCATCAACTAGCTGAGGGCGAGGATACGCTCTTTAGCCAGCTGCGCGATGTGCTACGCCCTAAAAAGCTGCTTATAGAGGTGTATCCACCACCCGCTGAAGATTGCATTGAGAACAAGCAACCAGCTGAGTCAGAGACTGCATCGCCGACGGAGCGTATTTGCATTTTTATTGGTGCAGATAATCAGCGCTTTGCTAATCTGTCACTGACCACCACAAGCGTTCCAGTGGCATATTTTCGACGGTGCCAGTGCCACGTTGAGTGCCAAAAATCCACTGACTGCACAATATATACGTCGGCGTTATTACTACATAGAGAAGTGCAAAGATGCACAGACACTGGGGCTGATTGTCGCCACATTGAGCGCTGTTGGCTACTTAGATGTAGTTTCACGTTTGCAGGAAATGGCCAAGAGTCGTGGCATTAAGACGCAACTTATTTCCGTTGGCCGCATCAATCCGGCTAAGCTGGCTAACTTTCTGGAGATAGACTGCTTTGTGCTAATCGGTTGTCCCTTTAACAATATGTATAATTCCAAGGAGTACTATAAGCCCATTGTGTCAGTGTTCGAGGCTGAAATGGCGCTGAATCCAGCCTGGCATATGAAGTATCCGGAGGCGTATGTCACAGATTTCAAGCAGTTACTACCGGAGGGACGAAGCTTTTTAGCCTTTGATGCACAGGCCGTGCAGCCGCAGGATGTGAGTCTGGTCAGCGGACGCATGAGAGGAGGCACTGCTGGCAATGAAGCAGTCGATTCAAGCACGACAGTGGCTACGCAGGCCAAGATGGCACTGATGACAACCGACACTGGCTTGACGTTCGAGGATCGCACTTGGCAAGGCTTGGACCCGGCGCTGGGTCAAACTGAGCCAGCCAAACTGCAGAAAGGTCTTAGCGGAATACCTATCAACTACTCGCATGATTAGATAATAATCGATGTATCACCTCTCAATACCAATAAAATACAACGAACAAATATTTACAGCAGTTCATTTAAAGTTATGTTGTGGTTTTATATTAGTTTGGTTTTTACTGATTCTCTTGGATCAAATTTTTCTTGAATTGGACTACACTGCTAGCAACGATATATTTTAAACCAGAGCATTGAAGCTATTTAGACCCTCAACCAGTACATCGAAGAGCGAATTCTGTTGTAATCGGGCAAATTCTCAACGGGTCCAACGGCGGATACGGCGGGGCATCTGTCATAGATGTACTTCATGCCGACATCGCGGACATTCTGGACGCTGACAGCATCGATGCGCTGTTCCAGTTCATGCAATGGGATGCGGCGATTATAGCACAGAATCTGGCGACCGATATCCTCGCAAATAGGCGTAGTGCCATCCAACTGCAGAAGCATGTTTGTCTTCAGCAAGTTCTTGGCGCGTTCAACTTCAGCCTCTGTAACCATGGTGCAAAGACGCATCCATTCAGTTTGCACATTGAAAATCATATCCTAAAAGAAAGCTGGTTTTATAGAAACAATCTGCTAGAAGAGATTTATATATACCTCGCACTGCAATGGATCGCAAACGAAGTAGATACCCCATAGGCCGGTATCCTTGTAGCAGGTGTTGAACGATTGGAAGCTGTGGCACAAATCTGCATATGGAATACGAAGCAAGAGCATTTACATAGGACAGAGATCATTATATTTGGATACTAACTGTCCTCAGCACTGGCACGTGCCAAGTTGGATGCATTATTGGCGCCACCGCCCTGAGAGCGATCCCAGGCACCTACCAAAGTGTTGGCCACCATTAATGGGATGTTGTCCTGGTCGGTCCAGCCACAACCCTCAACAGCAACAGCTACATGAGCCAAAGGCAGTGAATCGTCACGCACACGCACTTCGGAGCCAGTGAAGCGACAGGGAGTTACTTCAGCTGGCAGTACGCTAGACTCCAAGCGGCCAAGAGACTGACCGGCCAACTTGACAAGTTCGTCATGCTTAACACCACCGGCGCCAGCCAAAACAATGCGCGACGCCTTATAGTGGGTCTGAATGTAGTCGGTTAAGTCGGATTTACCAATTGACCTGTAAATAACAGAAATTAGCTAAATCTTAAATTATCTCAAATATATTCGACTTACTGAATGTTCTTGGTCGGGCCAAGAATGGTCTGACCCAAGGGAGTGCCCTGATAGGCAGTAGCGTGCAAGTGATCAAAGACCACCTCCTGCAAATTGCTCTCCACCTCCTGCATCTCGCGCAGAATGACCGAACGTTCACGTGCGATCTCCGACTCACCCAGCTTGGAGTTCTGAATAATATCAGCTAAATCTCAACGGCCTTGGGTACATCCTTGGACAGACAACTTTGCATAGAACACAGTCTGCTCGCGTGATGTGTACGCATTCAGATGAGCACCCATGTTCTCAACCTCAAGCTCCAGGTCAGTTTGCGAACGCTTGGCAGTACCCTAATAATGGAAGATGCATTAATATTATATTTATATACTATTATGTTCTACCTTACCTTGAAGGCCATGTGCTCCAAGAAGTGGGCAACGCCATTGTTCTTATCGTTTTCGGAACGCGAACCAGCATCGATCCAGAGTCCAACCGTGGCAGTAGATGCGCCCGAGTCTTCGCTAGCGACGCGCAGTCCATTATCCAGCCTGGTCACCTGGGTGGCGGGTATGTTCAACAGCGTCTTCCTAACGGTCAGTGCTGATTTGTAACGCTAAGAAATAGGAACAAAGAAAAAAAAAACAAAACAAAACAAAATTTTAAGTTGCGAATCAGTTGGGCAATTGAATATACATAACCTCAAATTTGCTAAAGACATTTTGTAACTATTTTGTGTAGCTTTAAGCTAGCATATTGAAGGGACATATTTATGCTTTTTAGCTTAAGCCTTTAAATAAAGGAGCTCGCCACTCATTCCACTTGCAAATTGGAAGTGGGCAGCTTACAAAATGCACAATTACGTAATTTAAAATACTGGAGCGTAAACCAATATATAATTGTATTTTTTAGTTACCCTTGATGAGGTCAACGCCGCGCATGTATGAGCGCATATTTTGCGTTACTCCAAGTACACGCAACGCCATCGTTTATTATAATCGTTTAATATTTTATACACTTAAAATAAATTAAACTTATGCGTTCCCGTTGTCGCGGCGCCTGCTGAAAATTTCACACTCGCATATGTACTATGTTAAGGCGTGAAGTTAGTTGCGTGCAAATCAGCTGCTCACTGGTCGATGGATACTACTCTGGTCCCACTGTAGTAAAGCAAGATTTGTGTATTTTTTACGTTAAATTTTTTGGCAAAACTTTTTTTGTTTTGAAAGATTTTCAATTTATTTTATAACCGAAAAGCAAAGCCAATTGATTTAAACATAAAAAGTTTATATATTTCCAATATTGCTTCCCAAAGTATCTAATACATGGGTTTCAATTCAAAAGCAGCTGATACACGTTGACAACTCTGGTAACACTGTAGTGACGCGAAATTTGCGGCTTTTAGACTGTTGTTAGTTTATTGAATTTTTTGACAATTTTTGTTTTTAGATAAGCAATTTCCGATCTAAACGAAGTCGTAACGAACTGCCAAGCTTATAATGGCAGGCAACTTCTGGCAGAGCTCGCACTCACAGCAATGGATACTCGATAAGCAGGATTTGCTACGTGAACGCCAAAATGATTTGCTGGCTCTCAGCGAGGATGAATACCAAAAGATATTTATATTTTTTGCTAATGTCATCCAAGTGCTGGGTGAGCAGCTAAAGCTTCGGCAACAGGTCATTGCCACGGCAACCGTATATTTCAAACGTTTCTATGCTCGCAACTCATTGAAAAATATTGATCCTCTGCTCCTGGCGCCCACTTGCATCCTGCTGGCCTCGAAAGTGGAGGAGTTTGGGTGTTATATCCAATTCGCGTCTGATCTCTATTTGTCAGTCGGCCATTAAGACCAAGTTCAGCTATGCATATACACAGGAGTTTCCCTATCGCACGAATCACATACTCGAATGCGAATTTTATTTATTGGAGAATCTCGACTGTTGCCTAATTGTATTTCAACCGTATCGGCCTTTGCTGCAACTGGTTCAGGATATGGGACAAGAAGATCAGCTATTGACTCTTAGCTGGCGCATAGTGAACGACTCGCTGCGCACTGATGTTTGCCTGCTGTACCCGCCCTATCAGGTAAACACAATGAATACATATAAAGCATTAGAAAGCTCAAGCCGCAATGAATTTAGATTGCCATTGCCTGCCTGCAAATCGCATGCGTCATCTTGCAAAAGGATTCCACCAAGCAATGGTTCGCTGAGCTGAACGTCGACTTGGACAAAGTGCAGGAGATAGTGCGCGCGATTGTCAATCTCTACGAGCTGTGGAAGGACTGGAAGGAGAAAGACGAGATTCAAATATTGCTCTCGAAAATACCGAAACCCAAGCCACCGCCACAACGATAAAGTTGCATTCAATATATCTATATTAAAGTAATTTTATACTAATTTATATATTGCTCAAGATACTTGGCTTGTCCGCTGGAAAACTTTGTATTAAGTATCTTAGCCTTATCCACAATTTGTTTGGTTTGATTTTTGTCATCTTGTTTAGCTTCAGATCCACGTCGCGACTAAAGGGTCGCCGCTCGGGTTTAGAAACCGCTGGCAGCCAGTTCCTTCTCCTACAAACAACAACAGTTAAAAACATCGAACATTTTAAAATGCAAAATTTGTACCCGTTCGCGCTGCTCCTTGCGCAGTTTCTTCTGATGCAGCTGGACAAGGGATTCATCTCGTTGTGCTTCTTTTTGTGTTTCTTGGCAATGCATTCCTGCTCCTCATCACGTTGCCGTTCGTAGTTAGCCTGCGCCTTTTGCTCCAATTCTTTAGAGCTGCAGGGCTTCGGACCAGCAGCCACACTCTGCGGCGTCTTAGTCCAAGAGCTGCGATCACTAAAATCTGGTCGCTCTTTGCCCTGGTAGAAAGTGCGCTTCATAGTGTTGAGAGCGGCCAAACCAGTCTTTAGACCCACTTCGGGCAGCTCCAACATCCATTCTTCGCGCACATCTTGATCCGTTGCAGAGCTGCCCAAGCCGCCGCCCTCCAGTGCAGCTAGCTTCATAGCCAGCGCACGTTCCTCCAGCTCAACTTGTGTGGCATTTGGTATTGGTCCAAACATGCCCGTCATATCGTCATCATCATCATCAGCGGCTTCGCTTTTGTGCGGAGCATCTTCGTTAATTATTGCAAGCTGGCTGGGCATTACGGGTCCAATAATCTGTGTTGTTGTGGCCGAGCATCCATCTGAGGTTTTTCCTGATTAACCAAGTATGGCGGTAGCGCGGGCATATAAGCATTTGCATCTGCATCTGTATCATCAATCGTCACCGGCAGCTGTCTAGCTGGCAGTTCTTGAAGCGCTTGCTTCTGTTCTGGCGAAGCGTCCCGCTTGCAACGTTTCTTTTCCTTGTGACGCTTTTCATGTTTGTGCTTCTTGGATTTCTTTTGCTTCTTATCAGCGTCCTTGCTTTGTTTTTATGCTTGCGCTTGCGCCTGTGCTCCTCGGCGCTGGAACTGCTCGAATCGCTGGTCATGACCTCTGTAAAACATTTCGAAATTGCTGGCAATGAAAACTCAGGGCTCTACTTTGCAGTTTCTCTATTGATGTCAACAACAACTTTAGGACTTAAAATTAATTAACAAAAAGTTAGCACAAGTTAGCGCAACTTAGTCAATAATTGGCAGGGAAGATTAGCGAAAGATTAACTTATAGCAGATAATATAAATACTTTAAACTGCGAAAGTCTTCTGGGCCTTGCGAAGCTAGAGGACGAGTGACTTGATAATCCCAGCTGTGGCAATATTTTTTCAGCGATTGCTTAATGCTACTGCGCCACACGATGTCATTCACCGAGACCTGGACGATCTTGGAGAGCAATGGTGCTACGGCTAGATACTCTACCACATCCGCATAATCTCCGCGGCAGGCAGCATTGCGCTTGAGACGGTGGCACAGCTCTTTAGGCAAATGACGCAGATGATATCGTGTAGCTTCGCCAGATTTATCCTGCTCGAAAACAATGGCCGGCTTTAGTGATCGCGGCTCTTGGCCATGCAAGTCAACGGCCATGTACTGCGACAACTGTTTCATAATGGGTTGGTAGAGTGCGAAGAACTCGGAGACTTGTGGCTGGACTATGTTGTGCACCTTCTGCTTATTCTCGCCAAAAATCATACGAAAGTCGCCCTTGTAGCTTAGCCCGGCAATGGCATAAAATAGCTCGTAGGCGGTAAATTTCTCGGGCACAGCAGCAGCGCAGTCTGACAGGCTGACCGTAGATTTCTTTCCAAAGCCGTTTTAAGACGTGAATCGGCGTCTAGCTTTACGAGATCAGTAACCGGTTTTTGTAGGCGCCCAGCCAAATAAAGATGCCGCCAATTGAGTAGATCATCAATTAAATGATCCTCATGTACTACGCCGTATTTGATTGTCACACCTAGATCATAAAGTGGCACCAGCGTATTGAAATAAACCCTGCGCCGAGTAGCTCCTGATACTGTGCCACAAGGTTGGACCCCATATAACGCAATGCTGAATAATGACTGGAATGCCGGTGTATATTCTCCGCATGAAAAGCCTCGAGTATCACGTACGCAAAATACTAAGTCGATGACACTTTTTGAATCCGGCTTCTGTTGAACTTTTCATAGCCTATTTGCTGCTTAACGCCCGATCCATAGGCGAACATGTAGCTGACATTGCCAAGTGGAAAGCGACCCACAGCGCGCCTGTATAAATCCAACATGATGATGCAGTGCGGGGAGTTGGGTTGAGTTATGGATGGGATGGCTTGACGTAGTTTTAATATATAATTTTATAATTACGTTTCTTTTCTTTTTCTGGCGGCTAACGCTGGGATTTCGATTATCCCATAAACATCGATGTACTTGTAGCCCAGTTGCTTGCTCTAGTTAGGGAATGGCACGATTTCGATACATCCGATATTCAATTTAGTGATGACAATACTCGGACAAGGACAGGCATGTCACAGATTTAAAACATGATGCGGTCGAATATGTTGTCGAAATCATTTCAATCTCTCAATCAATTTTTATAATTTTTCTTCGCTGTAAATTTGAATGGCCAGCTCGAATTGGATCGTTTACAATAGTCTTGCATTTCAATGAGTAATTAAAATTTGCCGCTGGTAGTAGTGTTGACAACTCTAAATTATCGGTGTTTTTAATTCTTTCGGAAGAAGAAGAAAAACGCACATTTTTTGTACCCAACCAGCAAACAAATCAAATACAATAGTACCGAAAATATCAAAAGCCAACCATCATATTATATCCAACACAATGCCACAGACGCCAAAACAAACAAATCTGTCGGAACCAGAACAGCCTGAAGAAGAACCCGCTTCCCAACCGTCAACATCTCAAGCCAGCTCGGATCGCAGAAACTTGGTCACCTTTACAACGGTAAGTGAATGCAAATTATTTAAAAATTAGCCAATTCTCACTTCTCATTATTTAGGAAGCATATCGCAATGTAGTAGCTGCTACACGCTGCTGTAATGCATTTCCACAGGGTGCAGCCCGTTCGATTTATCTCAGTTATCCAGGGTATGCACGTATGTTGGAGGAGCAGTCGCAGCGAGTGCTGGGATTGATTAACAAGGTCTTAAAGACGGAAAATATATCAGGTGACATAAAAAGGTAAATAAGCCCTTAATCTCCATACGTTTAAAATTCTAATAAGAAATATCCATAGGCGTCAAGGCGATGAACAGCTGGAAATGGTGCAGGAATTTAATGATATCCTATTCGAACGTATCACTACAAATTTAGACATTAGAAGCGGTCTTAGACGAGGCAACCAGCCCATGGTTGTCGAAACCCAGGTCGATGTACAATCTACATCGAGTGCCGCAAAATCAGCGACCATAACAAAAGAATCGCCACGTGCTGGTAGCTGGAATCGCTACAGCACAACTCCTGGCACTCCAGCGCGCAACATGGTCTCTGCACGATTGTATACGGCACACAATATAATGCGTCCGCAAATACAGTTTAAGGTGCCGGTGGACAATAGCTCTCAGAATCCTTTTCGACCGCGTCTTACGGAGAAGCCTAATTCGCTGAAGCCCTTGGCATTGCTGCCCGAATACGATGATGCTGGTAACGTAGTGTCTTACCTACATCCGTATGAGTTTGAGCTGTTGAAATTTGAGCCGCCCAATGAGCAATTGCAAATGCAAAAGCCCCTCTTGCCGGCCCCACCAGCTGAAACTGAACTGATGGTAGTAGACAATGTGGAGGCACTGCAAGAGGCACTAAAGGAGCTGCGCCAAGCGCCTCAAATAGCCATCGATGTGGAGCATCATTCGTATCGCACGTTTATGGGCATCACTTGCCTCGTGCAAATGTCAACACGCACGAAAGACTATATATTCGACACGCTGACGTTGCGCGAAGACATGCACATACTAAATCTAGTGCTCACCGATCCCAAGGTGCTTAAGATATTGCATGGCGCTGATCTCGATATTGAATGGCTGCAACGCGATCTATCTCTATACATCGTTAATATGTTCGATACACATCGCGCTGCCAAAGCCTTAAACATGGCACGACTTTCGTTAGCATTTTTACTGAAGCATTACCTCGATCTGGATGTGGATAAGAGCTTGCAATTGGCAGACTGGCGCATGCGTCCACTGCCACAAAAACTAATTGACTATGCACGCCAGGACACACACTATCTCATCTATGTTTACGAGCGTCTCACGAACGATTTGTTGCAATCCGAGCAAGGTCAGCTACAGGGCTTGCGTATGGTTTACCAAATGAGCACAGACGTTTGCAAGAAGCGCTACACAAAGCCGCACATTGGACCGGATTCACATCTGGATCTAGTGCGTAAAACGAAGCGCTCCTTTGACAATCGCCAGCTACATGCACTGCGCGGTATCTTTGTGTGGCGCGATGCTACCGCTCGTCAGGAAGACGAAAGCTATGGTTATGTTCTGCCCAATCATATGATGTTACAAATTGCAGAAAGTTTGCCTCGTGAAATGCAAGGTATATTGGCCTGTTGCAATCCTATTCCTCCTTTGGTACGCCAGCAGCTCAACACGTTGCATCAAATTGTGCTACGGGCGCGTGAACAACCTTTAATCAAAGTGAGTCATCCAGACGCAATGTCTAATCTTTACAAATCAATAATCCTCTATGCTTTCGCTTATAGCCCATATTAGAAGCACGTCACATTGTTCCCATACACTTATTGCCGAGCACTAAAGACTTCAATAGCAAACTGAATTGCCCACTTGACTTTTCGCATCAAGAGGAGATACGCGATGATTTACCCACACTGCTAAGTCGCAACCCTACGGGCAAATTGGAGCATCCAAGCAAACCGAAACTTGAGGTACCTTCGGCATCCTTAATTGCACCTGCTCTATCATTATTAGAAAGGCCAGCGACACCCACACAGGACGAGCAGGTGCGTTGGATGCGCGCCCGGCAGGAGAGTAAAACAATGCGCATGCCCTATAAGCGCTACATGGCTATTTTGCCGCTCATGCAGCAGCAGAAGAATGAGCAGACTGCACAACAAAATAATGAGCAGCTCACGCGACGTCTTTGCCCCGCCGAGCCCGTGCCGCCGACCGAATTGCAAATTGAACCAAAGGTGGAAGAGGATTCTGTATACAATATTCCAC